CTAACCACAGTGTCTACACTTCTTTGCACTCTAACTGCAATTGCCCGAAAAGAAAGTCCAGCTTCCCGAAGTCCCACTATACGGCCCCTATCAAACTCACTAAGTTGACGAAATCGTACAGGTCTCCGTACTCTAGGCATCGTAACCGATCGTAAAGGATGTCAAGAACCAAAATCCGCCAACGTTGATTCTTTACTGCGGCTGAAATATTCATTTTTAGAGCGTTATACATTAATACATTCACCAACTTTTATTAAAATAAAACCATTTAAACTGGGTGTTCGGATTTATATACCACTTAGTATATCTCTACATGGCTTTAGACATGTGTGGCAAATTATGTGTATGTTTTTTCGTACGTGCTAGCCTAAAATATTTTTAAAGCCGTTTTCAAAGCTTTAATAGCCATTTAACAAGATATCGACAAATATACGGAAATACTTATTTTGTAGTAAGTTCGAATAAAAAATCACGAAGGTCCTGGGTCCTGTTAAGAATGTATTTATTGGAGATTGATCAGTGTATGTATTTTATATGAATCACCCCGTCAAGACAATATCAGTGTATTTTTCACTGACTTCGACAAAAAGACCCTGTAGAATTCATCTTGAAAATGTCTCGCAGCTTTTTTGTTTGACAATTTGATTTACAACTTCAAATTTCAATATGTGGAAGATGTACCCAAAGTTCGAGTTCTAACACGGAAAGTTTCCCAGGTATAGAGTGTCCCTGTTAAGGTATTCCTATCACACTGTATCGCAGGGTAATGAGAGCGTGGTCAGTGTTTCGTATAGTTACTTGGTATTAATTTATACTGAAGTACCTATACATGGTGTCTGGTAAATTTTTTTCACCGTAATTAGTCAAACTTTAGTAAAGGTTTTCACATTGAAATATTTTTTTTTTTAGCATACCGTGCTAGTTTTCAATGAAATGAATCTCGGTTCTCTCAACCTATTATTAATGATCGCCCAGGAAAAAACTAATAAGTGAGAAGCTCTTAATAGCCATAACGAGCAAAAAGGAGCAATAAGTAATGATTTTTTGAAAAAACCTAAAAGTGTCAATATCTCGAAAACTGTGTTTGGAACTGTCGCTTTGGCGTTACTACTTTTCTTTCAAAAGTCACTTACTTACGAGGGATGTCTTTTAAGTTTTGCATATAGAAACATAGTAGGCCGCGCTGATCGAACGTCAGTACTGAATCTTAACCTCACTCTTTAGTAAACTTAAATTCAAAGTTTCACAACAATAGGTGCAGTGTTCTCACTACCGTGAATTTTTAAGTGTCACCAAGTCATTAGAAAAATGGAACTCAACCGAGAACATTTTTGCGCCATAAGTTATTACAACTTTCAGATACAATTATCACAACAAAAATGCCTTGCTGAGTTACTGTCTGTTTTCGGCAACGAAGCACTACATCAGTCGACAATTTCCCGTTGGTATGAAGAATTCAAACGTGAACGGGTGAGTCTTAGCGACGATCCCAGGGTGGGTGCACCAAGAACGGCAGTAACCCAGGAAAACATCGATACTGTGCGCAAACTCATCATTGACGATAGACATGTGACATATCGCGTGATTGAGGCGCCCTTGAAGATTTCAAAGACCTCAATTCAAAAGATTTTACATGAAGAATTAGGAGTAAAAAAATTAGTTTCTCGTTGGATACCCCACCTGTTGACCTGTTGACCGTTTCAATTCCGCAAACTCAAAAAATGTGTACAGCATTGTTAGTGGTGATGAATCGTGGATTTACTGTTATGAACCAGGAAATAAACGACAGTCGGCTGTTTGGGTGATCCAAGGTGAAGAAAAGCCAACAAAAGTCATCCGTTCTCGAAGTGTTTCGAAAAAGATGGTCGCGACATTTGTGTCAAAAGCGGGTCATATTGCAACAATTCCTCTTAATGAGCAAAGAACTGTTACTGCGGATTGGTATACCACCATTTGTTTGCCAAGTCATCACCGAGCTTCGAAAAATCAACCCCGAAAGAAGAATCATCCTCCACCAAGACAATGCAAGCTCGCACACAGCCCAAAAAACAAGGCAGTATTTAACGGAAGAAAACGTGGAATTATTGATCCATCCTCCATATAGTCCCGATCTAAGTCCTAACGATTTCTTTACTTTCCCGAATATTAAAAACAGAATGCGTGGTCAAAGGTTCCAGTCACCAGAAGAAGCATTTGATGCATTCAAAAATGCCGTTTTGGATCTGCCAACAATCGACTGGAATAAGTGCTTCGAAAATTGGTTCGAGCGTATGCAGATGTGTATTAATCTTCGTGGAGAATACTTCGAAAAACAATAGTCATTTAAAACTACCTACCGTGTTGTTTTAGTTCCATATGCAAAACTTAAAGGACATCCCTCGTATTTCCTGCTACACAGCAATGCTTGTATTAGGCTCAAGCCACTCTGAGTAAAAGCTCTAAACTGAACTGAAATTCGAAATCGATAATGAATGTTAAGTTCAGACGCGGGTGCACGAAATGAAAGCAAATACATAAATTATATTGGATATTTACTGCCGGCAGGTATCTACACTGCATACACTTTTTAGGAGAACATTATGGGACATAAAAGGAACAAATAGAACATTGTTTCAGATGTCGTTTGAATTTTAGTGCTATGGTAGTACATTGCAACAATGTGTGTGTGTGACTATTTTTCTAGATCTCCGACATCTGCTTTTTAAAGATATATTGACTTGTTTATGGAAAGACACCACCATATTTGTATCAGTCGTATCAGTGAGCGTGTTTAAGCCTGCGCAAAGCGCTCCAGCGCTGTAGTAGCCATGGGATAGCTTTGTCAGTTTGACACGACTCTCACTTGGCTGCCAGATTTGATAGTTTGTTGAATAAATATTGCGCATCTGTCTGTCGGTCTGTCCGCTAATCTTATGACCGCCTATGACTTAAGAAGTAGCTTTCGGATTTCGATGAAATTTTTTTACAGTGGGACTCAAAGGCTTTGCAGTTTTTGAAATTCGGTCCAGTGGTGGCGGAGCTATGGGCAAGAAACCCGAAAAAATATAAATCCGCTCTAACTTCGTTGTATGATGTTTCAAAGGTTCCTGATTATTTTCAAAACAAAATGTGTAGGGGTATATCATTTTTTTTTCGCAGTAGTATATTTATCAAATCCTACTAATTTTACGCATCGTACTGTACTGTACTGCATGGATTCTTAATCATAATGCTCTTATATTCATGATCATGAATGTCTTAAGCCGTGCTTTTAAAGATGCTGTGGTTTTCACCTTCATATATGAATTTATGGCTTACGATTTTACTATTAATTGTTATTGAATATCCGCAGTTGGGACGCCTCCAGGTTCTGAGGGTTGTTATGGGACTTTCGGGGCCCGATCGCTGCGTTCAGGTAGTTATCTTAATTACTAGTCGGTTTCCTCTGCCAGGGGAAATGTCGGAGCGCTTGTGATGTTGACCTTTGGCTGAAGTGACGTCCTAGGCCTGAATTACCGCTTAACTATCTTCTCTAGGCAATCGCTAGAGTCTGAAAGGATCGCATGGCAGGATGTGTGTAAAGATTGTTACTTTAAAGTGAGTCATCTTGCTCGGTTACCTCTGATTCGAGGGTAACGTTGGAGCTGTAGGTTATTGACAGGCGACGTCCTGGACTGCTTTTCGTATCAATCGTTAAACTCGTCATGTCTGTCCGGACACGTAGCGACCAAAGATTTAGTCTGTCTGACGACTCAGTCTGTCTATGTGACGACTCCTAATCTGTCTGAGTGACGATTTAATGATCAGTCTGTATGACAGTCCAAGAATCAGTCTGTGTAAGAATCCCATGTTTCAGTCTGTTTGACGAATCCGTACTAGTAGTTGGGGTACACTAATGTAGAGGTAACTAGTAGTTTTGTGAATGTCATGTCATATGTCGGCTGAATATGGGAGGCACTCAAATCATTTTTGTAAAAATAGGTGTTGGCTCCGACAATCCGATCATATCGCCCTTATCGCTTGCCAAAGGAGGATACAACTCATCGTCACCAAGTAAGTGGCTTTTATATTATCCCTTACGTACTGCCCTTTTAATAAAAATAAAAAGATACGGGGCGGTAATTCGAAACCTTCTAAGATGGGTTTGTCGTATTCACGATTATCCTTATATTCTATTAGTATTCTCTCGTCGTATCCTACACTTGTGCCTATCATAATCGTATATGAACTGATGACCACGTTGCGTGGAAAGACAGAGTCAGCCTACTTGACGCCATTTTTCAAGGTTCGGTTTCATGTAACAGGTTCCTTCATTGCGTATCGCATCTTGCTCACTCTGCTTTGGCTGTATGTAAGAATGGTGCAATTGCGAAAACTATAGCGGCTCTCTTATAATATCTAGACAGAAATTTCTTTCAAAAGAGTTCAAAAGTCGATTGCAGTTTGTCCTATGAAAACAACAAGAAGGAGGTTATCAGGAAACAACTATTATTGAATATGAATGAAAATGTACATTCATGCTTTCTTTCATTTCAATAACTTTATACATTGACGCTTTGTAATTTGTATCGGCTGGCCTATATCTACAATAGGCAGTCATACCAGCCGATTCGTACAGCGACATAATAGATCAATATCGCCGATATAAATATCTGTATCGGTCGGTGTCTATGACAGTCGAATATACATATATATATATATGACATCGAATAGTGTGTAAAATCTATTCGAAGATCAGCTTTCTCCGGTAACTTCTAACAATACCCGTGATGACTGGAATAGCTAGCATGGTAGTTCTACCTGCTCTAATGGAGGTATAGTTGTAGTCACTCACCGTTCTTGGCGGGTCAAAGTAAGACTACAAGTATCCCTTTATATATCTCCATCTCCCTCATATATACACATGCACCCCTGTGTGTGAACGTTTGTTCGGTAAGCCCACAGGTTTAGTTGTGTGTCTCCGTCTCCAAAACTTTGCCGTTACGTATGAGTGCCGTTCAATCATATTTGTCAGAGTGACAACTTACTTGACATCAGCTTACAATTTCAGTTGTCCTGTTATCAATCTTCACTATAAAATTGTACAATGCCCGGAAATACGATCATTGGAGAAGGCCGACAGCTTGTGCTAAATTTATTAGAGTATTTCCAGGAAGAGAATGAAAACAGCGCTCTCCTGTTACCCACTTCATGCTTACTGGAGTTAGGAAAATTAAGATCCGCCCATGGTACGGAGACTCGACCTGTTTACCTATTGCATATGGCGCTGATGATGTAACTACACGTAATCGCAAGGTATTTGACTTCCATATACAGGGTGTACAAAAAGGTATGGATACATCAAAATATACTAAGTGACATATAAATCCGAACACCCAGTTTAAATGGTTTTATTTTAATAAAATTTTGTATAAGTACTTAACGAAGCATAATAAGTAAATGATAAAAATTTCAAAATGATTGCACTGCTTTAAAGCCCTTTGACCTTTAATAATGTGTGGATGCACCCTGATGTGCTACGCATTCTCCAACGCGCCTAGGCATGCTTCTGATCAGGTGGTCAATGTCCTCCTGTGGTATCTCATTCCAGGCAACCACCAACTCCTCTCGAAGTGCTTCTAGAGTCTGAGGAGGACGTTGCAAATTGAGCAATCTCCTACACATTATATCCCACACGTGCTCAATTGGGAATAAGTCGGGAGATCTTGGTGGCCATGGTAACAATGTGACATCATTATGTTGAAAGAAGTCTATTGTGACTCTTGCAACATGTGGTCGGACATTATCTTGCTGGAAAGTTGGATCTGCCAGGGTGTCAAGATAGGGTAAAAGATGGGGTTCTAGAACTTCGTGGATATAACGCTGCGCGTTCGTGTTACCTCTGATGAAGATTAAAGGTGACCTGGAACCATAAGCTATAGCACCCCAAACCATAACTCCAACAGTGTGATGAACATGTCTTTCAACAAAAAACTGTGGATTCCTCCTTTCACCACGTCGCCTTCTAACCCTGGCACGACCATCGTGCATGCCTAAACAAAATCGAGACTCGTCACTAAAGACAATACTGTTCCATTCCTGATCCCAGAGTGACCGTTGTCTGCACCACTCCAGGCGATTACGTCGGTGTTCTCGAGTTAAAGGAAGGACCCAGTGTGGCCGGTATGAAAACAAGCCAAAACATCTCATTCGTCGGTAAATACTTCGCATGCCAATAGGTCTTCCGTGTTCTGCAAACCATTCATTTGCAATGGACCTGGTAGTGGAGAAACGATCCCTTATGACCCATAATCTTAGGCGGCGATCTTCACGGTCTGTTGTTCTACGGCGGCGTCCAGTGCCCCTTGCTCTTTGCGTACGGCCTTCTCGAAGCCATGCCTGACAACACCTAACCACAGTGTCTACACTTCTTTGCACTCTAACTGCAATTGCCCGAAAAGAAAGTCCAGCTTCCCGAAGTCCCACTATACGGCCCCTATCAAACTCACTAAGTTGACGAAATCGTATAAGTCTCCGTACTCTAGGCATGGTAACCGATCGTAAAGGATGTCAAGAACCAAAATCCGCCAACGTTGATTCTTTACTGCGGCTGAAATATTCATTTTTAGAGCGTTAGTGAATTAAAAAAAAAACAGTATAAAAACCGGAATGTCCAACTGATAAGGCTGAAAATTTTTTCACTTGTTATTTACAGTAAGATAAATACATTCACCAACTTTTATTAAAATAAAACCATTTAAACTGGGTGTTCGGATTTATATGTCACTTAGTATATCTCGATAAATAAGTTTCCTAGAGAAAAATGCTGTAGAATAAAGTTGTACTTGAGGTTTGAAAAAGATGATCTAATGGTGACCTTGACTATGATCATGGTCATTTGAAGGTGAAGGCAGTTTTCTTACAAAACCTCTATTTTTGGAACTGGAGTTGTAAAACGCGGGCAATTTTGCGTTCAAGTAAATCGTTGACCATACCTCCAAGGTCATTGGCACGGACTTACTTAAACGTATAATTGACAAAAATTTGCCATTTCAGGAATTACAAACAGATTTTTCCTGTTAAACATTCATTTGATGTTCAAATGATCTTTGATGGTCACAGTCAAGGTCATTGACATATCTGGACACTTATTCCGGTTTCAAAATAGGGGTTTCCATTTTAGAAAGCTGCCTTGACCTTCAAAAGACCTTGAAGATTATAGTCAAGGTCACACCAAGGTTACCCTTTTCAAACAGCTTTGTTCTGAAACATTTTTCTCTAGGAAATTTATTTTTCGAGACATATTGTTGTATCTAGACTTTTCGGATGTTTGTTTTCGTCAGGGAAAACAACACACTTCAGTGTTTCTGCCTTGGAATCGCTAGCCTTTTCATTTCGAAGTAAAACCAATTTTCATAACATATTCTGGGGTACCGAGTTGTGATTTCTATCAAATTCTGATGAAGGGAACAAAATTACAGTATTATCCGACTTATACAGTTGTCTTGCAAGAAATATACATATGTACTATCATCACGAATTCGAGGCTTCCTCATGTAATTTTTTCATCATTAAACAGGAATGAAATAAACCCTTGGGAATGACAATATTATTGCATTTCTGTAATTGTATTTATCGACTGATTTTTTTGTCTGTAATGAAACGATATCAATATGACAGTTTCTAATAATTTTAGATATTGACTGATTTATATTTTCCTACAACACGCAAACGGGTTCCTGGAATTACATTAATCATTGCGGCGAATACTTATACATTGGGAAGCTACAGAGAAAAGTACGAACTCAATTGGGGTATTGGTAATTGTACGATTTTTATACCGGGTGGTCAGAAGGTCGATACAAACATGTTAAAAGGTGACAGTATACCCACTTGGAATACAGGGTTTATTCGTTATGATAGTCATTATTTAACTGGGTCATAGAGGGGTTAAAAGAAGCGAAAAGATTCATATAACATATGGGTCAAAACGGCTTTTTTTTTAGAGAAAAGCGACTTTAAAGTAAAATAAAATCTGACAACGACGCAATACCACACGCAAATCACGACGGAACGCAGTATCAATAAAGATGGAGTTTGATATTTTTGGCTCTTAGTATTATTTCATTATTTGATAATAGACTCGTAAAATGCAAATAATTAAAGAAAAACGGACTTACCACTAACTGTCTCAGCGCTTCACCTGGTGTGTGAAAGTTTATTGAACGTAATAAAAAAATCCACTTATAAATAGGGAACACAATTTTGATACATACATTGTTTTTCTTTTTAAAACCCATACTGCACTTTTTTGTATATAAAGAAGGTGTTCAAAATATCGACATTTATTATTTCAGCCGCATTAAAATTTTTTTGGCGAAGTTGTGCTTCAGTTGTTATTGGACCAGCCCCATAAACCATCACTTTAAGTTCTCCCCAATACCAGAAATCCATCGGATTGAGGTCAGGAGATCTTGCTGGCCATGTTCGAGGATCAGGAGCATTTCGACCGGTCCAGCGATTTGGATAATGTTCCGTTGTAATGGCATGTTGTCTAAGGTCTGTTCCAAAAGTTCTGGTAGGTTATTGGCTAGAAAGCTAAGGAATCCTTCTCCTGACAACTTTGGGGGTAACCCGAAAGGGCCAATTACCTGATCGTCAAGAATACCCGCCCAAATATTTATTTTTAAACGTTGTTGGGAATGACCTTCACGGATGGTATGAGGATTTTCTTGGGTCCACGTGTGAGTATTATGGAAATTTAATATCCCGTCTCCTGTAAAAGTACATTCGTCCGTCGCTAGAATGGCCTGCACTCGTTGTACATGGTAGGGATAAAGCTAATTTTCCTGTAGGATTCTATGGACTATGGTATGCGATAGTCCTACGCGGCAGCCTAATTCCCGAGTGCTGATATTTGAATTGATTTCCACGATATTTAAAATTTGTTCCTCCTGCTCTACAATAACCTGTCTTTCACGAGTGCGAATATTGGTGGACTGAACACTTCCTGTATCTCGCAGTCTTTGGTACACTTGCACAAATGTCCTTCTGTCTGGGTGTACCCGTTGGCGAAATCTGTCGCGATAAATTTGAGCTGCAAGATTTTAATTCTGACGAGCTTCACCGTAAACTAACAACATGTCTGCGAACTCTTGATTCGAGAGCATTGTAAATCAAGACGACGACGTACGCGAACAAAAACAAAACAGCATACTAACCACTGTTACCGTTTGCGATCGATTGCCGGTTCGATAAGATTGATGATGACCGACGCGCTGTTGTCATGTGTGTTTTAAATATCCAATTTAATGTAACTTACTTACTGACTACAAATTTTGGCTTAACTTAGGAAACCTTAATTCCATTTATTTGTTAATTACCCAATTTTTTTTTTATACTCCAACTACCACGAAGGTCTAAGGCCTAAGCACCCATTGGGTACCGTGGGGCTATAGGGGGATACATGGGAAAGGGGGGATCTCCAATTTAAATAAGATTAGTAAGGTTGTGGTGATTGTCGTCGATATAAAGCACTTAAAGTTGTAAACTATAAAGCCATTTGGACAATAGAGAAGCGCAACCTCTTATCTTGATGAATAGTCTTGCTGTACAAATAACATAGTTTGTAAGTTATCCAAATATGGCGTACACGTTTTGAAAAGATAATTTTTGGTTGCTTAAATGGTTCGACACAGCTGAACATCGTGATTTTTCGCACGAGAAAATTTTTGAAATAGTGTACACTGAAAGCAATGAAAAAACCTCACTTTGTCCATCATCATGGTATGACATACGAAACGATACGATCTCCACTCCTTTTTTCTCGAAATACATTTTTTGTTAGACGAAACACTTGATGATGACAAGATTAATTATTTTTAGTAGCATGGTAATGTTTTTGAACATTCAAGTTGTATTTATATGTGTTTGCAATATTTTGAAAACGAGCAGTTGCAATATCTGCACATTGAATCTTCGGATAAACACAAGGTGCTATGAAACCGAACCACTTTTAGTTAACTGATTACCACTACAACGTTACAAAACTAAGGAGATAAAATTCTTAAGAAATAACGGTTTACATTTTGTGATTACTTACTTTCAAGCAGCGCTACAACTCCGGGTGGGTTGCGGCTGACCTCAGTTTACATCCATTAGGTGCGGTCTTCCATCACTGGTGGGTCAGAGTTCAAGGACACTTTCTGGGTGAATTAATAATTTTGTTACTATGTAATGCTTTATTTCTAGGACATTACAAATTGCACTTAACTTAAAAACGACCTTGTACGTAGGTATATGTGCCTTTAATGTGTTCCAAAAGGTAAAATGCTTGTGTCCAACTTCTGACCGTCCTATATTTGTCCAAAATAAAAAATGTATTATGAAGACGCTAAGAATGCGATAGACCGCTTTCAATACCTTAGCTTCAATTTATTATCGTAAAAAATATGACCATTCAGGCTGCATAATTGTAATTTGTTTTTATAATAAAATAATCTATTATTCGAAACCTGAGCAGATTCTTAGATCGCCCGGACGGATATGACGAAAATAGTGCATCAATTAACAAACGTCGATATCCTTAGCAGGCTATATATGGAAGACATGCAAACTGGCAATACGGAAATGAAGTGGAAATTGAATAATCCTAAATGTCAAAAGTAATTACATTTGGCCAAGATCATCAAATAATGAACTAACCCTCAAAGTAGAACTAAGCGCCGTATTGTCAGTCGTTCCTACAATAATTGTAGGAGACCTTTATGGCCTCCTTGATTTTCACATTTTTCTACTCTTCCATGTCAACGCTCTATTTGAGGTTATGTTGAGAGGTTAGGTCGCCGCCTTGTGGGGTGAAATGAAGAACAGACTTTGTTGCTTGCTGCGTTGAATTCTTGGAGTTTTATTGTTGTACACAATTACAGTCTGTATTGCACGTTTTATAACAACACCTTTTTTACGTTAATATTTAAATTTTACACTTAATAGACAGTTTTGTCGTGCTGAGAAGAAAACCGTGGACTATAGCTTGTTTTCTCAACTATCTCTCCCTCACGTTGCCATGTTGAGCCGATTGTTCGGGATTCGCGGAAACAGGTTATGTTATGTTATCTATTTGCATCAAATTGTTCATGTTTTTGATTCGTATGATCTGTTATATAGCCCGAAATTTCTTACAATTCAAGAAGAAAACATAGCCTGACAATAAGAGAGCGCTGACGCCGACACCGTAGAAATCTAGAAATATCCCTACCTTTCTGAAAGAGAGAAAGGTCTATGAAAATCAAGGAGGCTTTAAAGGCGTCTTGCGATTGTAGGGACGACTGATGATACGGCCCTTAGGCCCGTATCGTCAGTCGTCCCTACAATTGTAGGGTGCGTTTATGGCCTCCTTGATTGTCATACTCCTTTCTCTCCTCCAAAAATTTCTAGATTACACTCGTCCCGTGTCAGCGTCAGCGCTTTCCTATTGTTAAGATATGTTTTCCTTTTAAATTGTAGGAAATTTCAGGCTGATCAAACATGATATAACTCAAAAGCAAGCACAATTTGATGCAAATAGATGTTTGTGACATAACCTCAAAATAGAGCTCTGACACGGAGAAGTAGAAAACTATGACAATCAAGGAGGCCGTAAACGCGCCCTACAATTGTAGGGACGAGTGACGATACGGGCCTTAGTGTTGTAGTGCTCTTAAAATATTATTATAGCTAAATATAGGGGTGCAAAACCGGAAGTATTTCAAACCTATATCTCAGGTACAGTTTTCGAGGGTATTTGTACTATATAAATATACTAAGTGACATATAAATCCGAACACCCAGTTTAAATGATTTTATTTTAATAAAATTTTGTAAGTACTTAATGAAGCATAATAAGTAAATGATAAAAATTTCAAAATGATTGCACTGCTTTAAAGCCCTTTTACCTTTAATAATGTGTGGATGCACCCTGATGTGCTACGGATTCTTCAACGCGTCTAGGCATGCTTCTGATCAGGTGGTCAATGTCCTCCTGTGGTATTTCATTCCAGGCAACCACCAACTCCTCTCGAAGTGCTTCTAGAGTTTGAGGAGGACGTTGCAAATTGAGCAATCTCCTACCCTTCATATCCCACACGTGCTCAATTGGGGATAAGTCGGGAGACCTTGGTGGCCATGGTAACAATGTGACATCATTATGTTGAAAGAAGTCTATTGTGACTCTTGCAACATGTGGTCGGGCATTCTCTTGTTGGAAAGTTGGATCTGCCAGGGTGTCAAGATAGGGTAAAAGATGGGGTTCTAGAACTTCGTGGATATAACGCTGCGCGTTCATGTTACCTCTGATGAAGATTAAAGGTGACCTGGAACCATAAGCTATAGCACCCCAAACTATAACTCCAACAGTGTGATGAACATGTCTTTCAACAAAAAACTGTGGATTCCTCCTTTCACCACGTCGCCTTCTAACCCTGGCACGACCATCGTGCATGCCTAAACAAAATCGAGACTCGTCACTAAAGACGTTCCATTCCTGATCCCAGAGTGACCGTTGTCTGCACCACTCAAGGAGATTACGTCGGTGTTCTCGAGTTAAAGGGAGGACCAAGTGTGGCCGGTATGAAAACAAGCCAAAACTTCTCATTCGTCGGTAAACACTTCGCATGCCAATAGGTCTTCCGTGTTCTGCAAACCATTCATTTGCAATGGACCTGGTAGTGGAGAAACGGTCCCTTAAGGCCAATAATCTTAGGCGGCGATCTTCACGGTCTGTTGTTCTACGGCGGCGTCCAGTGCCCCTTGCTCTTTGCGTACGGCCTTCTCGAAGCCATGCCTGACAACACCTAACCACAGTGTCTACACTTCTTTGCAATTGCCCGAAAAGAAAGTCCAGCTTCCCGAAGTCCCACTATACGGCCCCTATCAAACTCACTAAGTTGACGAAATCGTACAGGTCTCCGTACTCTAGGCATCGTAACCGATCGTAAAGGATGTCAAGAACCAAAATCCGCCAACTTTGATTCTTTACTGCGGCTGAAATATTCATTTTTAGAACGTTAGTGAATTAAAAAAAAAGCAGTATAAAAACCGGAATGTCCAACTGATAAGGCTGAAAATTTTTTTACTTGTTATTTACAGTAAGATAAATACATTCACCAACTTTTATTAAAATAAAACCATTTAAACTGGGTGTTCGGATTTATATGTCACTTAGTATATATCTGCGCTGATCACAAAACTATTTGTAAAGGAAAAACCAATATTCTCAGATTTCCCATTAAATCAGTACCATGTCCTTCATGACGTTCGTACATTTTACTAAAATGCAGAGATTCTGTAACAGAAGAACAAAAAGAAAACAAGAAACAGAATGTATTGTATCAAGTCATCAAAACATGGAGATGCACTGTATTTTTACAGCATTTGCAGCTATCGGGCACTCAAGCCAACAATGTATCGTACAAAGTTCCACTGTAAAATTTTACGACTGCTGCTTTATTTTACTGTGGAACTCTGTACAATGAATTCTACTGTTTGATCACATGATGCAAATGTCACTAAAAGCACCTATGATCTATAAGCCCATGTTTAGCCATAATCCAAGCTTGGAAAACGCTTCACTTTGAGAACAAATGCATTGGTTCTACACGAAGAATTAATCGGACTTATGAAATGTTCTTTCAAAATAATTTTCTGAGATATTTTAGATGGTGGTAGCTTCGAAATATACCATTACTTTTTATTATAATCCAAAGATGCTTCAACTAATGCTTCTCTGGCCACTGCTTGGAGAGTTTTAGGAGAATCAAATAACTCCTTCCGGTAGATGTGAAAGCAGACCTTATACTTTTGACATAGGCTATCACTGAACATTTGTTTCAGATGGAGAAGCGGTATAAAACATAGACAGTAACAATGGAGAAATACGAACAATTATCAGTGATAGGGGAAGGATCCTATGGAATTGTAACAAAAAGTAGGCATAAAGATACCAATGAAATTGTGGCTATTAAAAGGTTCCTGGAAACAGAAGAGGATACTACAATTAGAAAAATGGCATTACGTGAAATTAGGATGCTAAAAGTAAGTATAGTCAAATACCATAATTGATAACAGTAACAGAAGTCATCGTGCGCCACTGCTTTGACGTGGTACCTTTTGATTACAGCAACGTTTGCCAACAAAGAGGCGCCGCATTTTCAAAGGCCTTTGGTATTTACTATAGCAGTCGCGATTTTTTTCACTATTAACCGGAGGAATCCTCATTATTGACCGCAATGCCCCACTGAGTAGAAGCTTTTCTCTTCTTAATGAGCCGTTTTATACACAAGAGAATTACTCCGAAAATTATGGTTATAATTATGCCGAAAATTTTTGCTGTCGTATTACACCTAAAAGAATTCTTGTGAAAATTTTCATGGTAAAAATATAAAACCCGTTCTATAGAATATGCGCGAGAATCGGCGCAGAGGATTATTTCCGTGCATGTCATTATCAAATGTCAACGTCAACATAACAACATAACCCCACTTAACATTTGTGGGTATGGTCCTGTTCAAGTCGTACTACGAAGAAGCGTTTATTGTTATTGTTTATTCATAATGTCGTGGAATCAGGAAGTAGTTACACTGTTGTTGTAGGAGTACCAAAAATGGGCAAACCTGTTCAAGGTAAAGTCACCCAATTACAAAAACAGAAATTTGCGGCGTCAGGCGCTGGATGCGATAGTCCAAGCATTGAGAAGTTTTATAATATTAACCAAGATCTCGATTTCAAAAATAAATTTAAATCAACGACGTCTGTTGTCTTTCCGATTATATTGGACGTCATACCCGTTAAGGTTATGTCCATTCGAAAATATTACTCTAATGCGCAGGCGTATCATATGAATTACTCGGAAATTTTGTTTGCTTGTGTCATACTGGTTGTAGAGAAAAACTTCATATTTTTTCCATGCAAATTTTTGGCATAATTATGACCATAATTTTCGGAGTAATTCTCTTGTGTGTAAAACGGCTCAATGGTAACAAAAGCATCTAAATAAAAAATATGTCATGTAGATATCATTGTTTAGTTGAGACCAATTTTTAGTGTGGCCAAAATGAAAATAGAACCGACAAAGTTTAACACCTTACTTCCCTCTGAAACTGAAATAGACCGGTCCGCAGGCCAAATCTGCTTCTTATTGCATTAATATGAGTTTTTCAGTTTGACACCAGGTTACTAGATGTTTCAAAGTATTTATAAAATGAGTACCTATGGTACATGTTCGTTTACGCATATATGAGGGTGAATGTCACTATCAAATGAAAATAATTACATTTTATAAGGCTCAACGATACACCGGGTGTTTCAAATTCGTTTTCATTTTTTCAGTCTTCATTTGAGATGGGGTTTCAAAATAAAAAGTACATCTCAACATTGATACCATTTCTCCTCTACCAGAAGGCAGAATTAGAATTCTAATAAGACGTACGTCTCTTGACCTCAATCATCAATTTTATTTTTCCTTATGAACGCCATATTTAATTTTTAGAGTGAGTAGAGCTTTTAATTTAGATTCCAAAAATATAATATAATATGTTAAGTTATTTAAATAAAAATTCTAAGTAGGCCTTAAAATTAACAGTCATTTGTTTCATAATATGATCATCCAAGCATTTTTTCAGTATTCATGAACTAGGCATTGGCGAATACAGTCTATTTCCGATTTTAATGAGATAATACTACACATAGCATGACATGGATTGATATAATAACACTTCAATTGCTTGAAATAGAAATCTCCCTCAAGTTAGCGTTAACTCATCAAACAAAAAATATCATAATGCTAAGGCTCGTTCGTACTATCTAAAGGTAGTATTGAAAGCATTATTATTTTATGTAACTGATAGAAGCATCTTAGAGTAGATAAAAACCTCAATGATGTTGCAACTTCCTAAACACATTTCATATATAAGCTGATACATACACATATTGTATTCAAATTTACTAAGTGACATATAAATCCGAACACCCAGTTTAAATGGTTTTATTTTAATAAAATTTTGTATAAGTACTTAATGAAGCATAATAAGCAAATGATAAAAATTTCAAAATGATTGCACTGCTTTAAAGCCCTTTGACATTTAATAATGTGTGGATGCACCCTGATGTGCTACGCATTCTCCAACGCGCCTAGGCATGCTTCTGATCAGGTGGTCAATGTCCTCCTGTGGTATCTCATTCCAGGCAACCACCAACTCCGCTCGAAGTGCTTCTAGAGTCTGAGGAGGACGTTGCAAATTGAGCAATCTCCTACCCATCATATCCCACACGTGCTCAATTGGGGATAAGTCGGGAGATCTTGGTGGCCATGGTAACAATGTGACATCATTATGTTGAAAGAAGTCTATTGTGACTCTTGCAACATGTGGTCGGGCATTATCTTGTTGGAAAGTTGGATCTGCCAGGGAGTCAAGATAGGGTAAAAGATGGGGTTCTAGAACTTCGTGGATATAACGCTGCGCGTTCATGTTACCTCTGATGAAGATTAAAGGTGACCTGGAACCATCAGCTATAGCACCCCAAACCATAACTCCAACAGTGTGATGAACATGTCTTTCAACAAAAAACTGTGGATTCCTCCTTTCACCACGTCGCCTTCTAACCCTTACACCGACGTAATCGCCTTGAGTGGTGCAGACAACGGTCACTCTGAGATCAGGAATGGAACAGTATTGTCTTTAGTGACGAGTCTCGATTTTGTTTAGGCATGCACGATGGTCGTGCCAGGGTTAGAAGGCGACGTGGTGAAAGGAGGAATCCACAGGTTTTTGTTGAAAGACATGTTCATCACACTGTTGGAGTTATGGTTTGGGGTGCTATAGCTTATGGTTCCAGGTCACCTTTAATCTTCATCAGAGGTAACATGAACGCGCAGCGTTATATCCACGAAGTTCTAGAACCCCATCTTTTACAGTATCTTGACACCCTGGCAGATCCAACTTTCCAACAAGATAATGCCCGACCACATGTTGCAAGATTCACAATGGACTTCTTTCAACATAATGATGTCACATTGTTACCATGGCCACCAAGATCTCCCGACTTATCCCCAATTGAGCACGTGTGGGATATGATGGGTAGGAGATTGCTCAATTTGCAACGTCCTCCTCAGACTCTAGAAGCACTTCGAGAGGAGTTGGTGGTTGCCTGGAATGAGATACCACAGGAGGACATTGAAATTTTTATCATTTACTTATTATGGTTCATTGAGTACTTATACAAAATTTTATTAAAATAAAACCATTTAAACTGGGTGTTCGGATTTATATGTCACTTAGTATATTATTAATCTACGGCTGAGATAGCATGTGATAAACTGCGATTTTCAAGGCCAACTATGAACATATTAGCTTATGAATGGCATATTATGCATTTTTGGAACCAGACTTAAAAACTCTATTCACATGTACAAAATTCCAATATGGCGTAGTAGAGCATGAAAAGTGTCAATGTTGAAGTGTTATTTTGAAAACTCACCTCAAATAAAGTTAAAAAAGTATAAGAATTATTTCAGGAAAATTCGTTTGCCTGAATGCACATTTCCCACCATTTAACAGACTTCGTACATTCCACCGTTGCCGAGTTTCCAATGGTGAGAGTTGAATTTGAATCACACGGTATAGTGTTAGTAGTGAATAATTTCAAACCAGACCTCGTTTGAGAAGACCATTCTTGAATGATGGCTTACTTCTCAACCTAGACATGTAATGTACCTTTATCCTGTCCTATCTTGGACTCATCAGTGCATAATGGGGTTTCTTATTTTCTTATTACAAGAAAGTTTGAGGTAATAAGTTGCTGATTTTGTAAGATTTCCACCCTCTATGTAAATATTTTATCTACAAAGTTCAATTTCCTTTTCAGAGACTGAGACACGAAAATTTAGTTACGCTAATAGAAGTATTCAGGCACCGAAAGAGATTTTACCTGGTATTCGAATATGTTGCTGGTACTCTACTGGATGAGCTAGAAAGATATAACGGAGGCCTGGAGTGTGAAATGTGTAGGGAAAGAATATTCCAGGTTACCCGGGCTATCTCATATTGTCATTACAATAATGTAAGTACTAATTTATAAATATAGATACGGATTTATACGTTTACACATTACATCTTACATATTACATCAAAAATGGCGCATCGAAGGAAAACAATTCAAGACAGATCATTTGTTTTAAATTGAACGGGGAATCAAAAAATGATTTTTATTTGACAAAAAACCATTGGCGTACCATTTTTTTCTTAAAAAATATCGAAGTCAGTAGCCGTACGCACGCCACTGTTAAAGCTAAAAATTATTTTTGCATTGAAAAACATGCAACTTATTAACTTTCACTACTTACTAAATATCAGTGAAATATCTGAAGCGGTTCTGAAAATATTAATTAATTTCCATTTTTTCCTAAAACTTCAACACCCCGAGTTTTTGTAAGGAAACATTTTTGGGCCATATTTTATAAAGCAAACAAGTTTTTCATGCAGATTCACACCCTTAAATATTCGCATATCACTAAGGAACACTGTATATTGAAAAGTGGTCCTATAGTTTCGAAAATCTACCAAACAAGGTTTTTCCCTGTCCACCTGACATTTGGCAGTTCAAAACCCATATCAACATATCGATAACAGTCGCAGTTCTTCGATATTTCCGCTTTGCCTTCACAGCTGCTTTGAGATAAATAATATTCATTATTTCAGATAGTTCATCGAGACGTAAAGCCCGAAAACGTGCTGGTATCAACTTTAGGTGTAGTGAAACTTTGTGATTTCGGCTTCGCCCGTCTCGTAACGAATCCGAACGAAGCCTGCACGGAGTACGTGGCTACCAGGTGGTACCGTGCACCGGAATTGCTCGTGGGAGACCCACACTATTCCAGTCCCGTTGACGTGTGGGCCATCGGGTGCCTTTTCGCTGAGATGATGACTGGAGACCCGTTGTTTCCAGGAGAAAGCGACATTGATCAGCTTTACCTTATCGTCAAGTTACTTGGTAAGTAGTGTCCTTATAACATTACTGAAAACCTACACCACTTGTTCAAAAACTGAAGCCTCCAACAGTAGTGCATCTTATTGGATTCTCCTCCAGTGATTTACAATACCCAATCCAGCGTTCTCGAGTTCCCAATTACCAGTTTGTACAGTTTCCCTACATCATACTCTAGTCTAGTATTCCAGACCGTTCCTCTTCCGTATTGCTTGAAGTTGAACACTCATCCTTATAATTCTAACTTAATTCATAGTTTAGCTACATAATTGGTGCAGTGGCGAAGCGTCCATTGTTACCATTGGTAACAGTTAAAAATCTTAAAAATAAATATTTTATGACTAAGTACAGTGAAATAATTTCATTTATTTGTTTACCAACAGTGATATGTAATAGTAATTCAGTAAATAGCAAATTAGCCCCACGAAAATAATGCGCCCTATAGTGTCTAGGTTCTACGAACACGATGAAGCTGACTCGCCTCCACTTGGTTGTCGGTTGTTACCATTTTTATTTATGGATACACTTGGTAGTCCGTCGGGGACCATCGGTACCGGCTCGTGTCTGATCGCGGCCACCCGAGAGGGCGCTGCTACTATTATATGGGCCTGTTACCATTTTTTGATTTGGTTACTCACTTCTCAGTCGTTAGTAGCCGTTTTGGTTACCGGCTGTAGTATGCGTGCAATTACACATGGATGAGTGTCGCTGCGTAATCGATCAACTACTTGAAAAGTCATTCTCCTTGTATAATTTTTAAGAAAAAAAAGGAGATCATTGAAGATGGAAGACCAACGCCTATTTTTGATAATTTTAATAAGGAATAAAAAACGTAGTTTGATATTTTAAATTTAACCTGTTTATGTGGTTGTAAAAACACGATGTCTTCTGTTTTATACAGAATAAAATGCAGTGGAGTCAACGATTTAAATAGTTTTAGGGCTCTAAAGAGGAGACATGAAATTTCTCCATTACATGTGAGATGTGTAGCCAATTTAATTCAGTTTGGCAAAACAAGGATCGAAAGTTGTCTTAACCAAGCTTTTAGGCAGCACACTTCTAGATACCGTATGTTTTTTGCCAAAACAGGAATTACCGTTCATTTTGAAGGGGATGACTCTGACAATAGAGGAAATTACAGGGAATTTTTAAGATTCATTGCCAAAAAAGATCAAAAATTCTCCAAATATCTAGAAACGTCAACTGTTTTTTCGGACGGCCTGGATTAGTTATAGCCTAAGACGATGAGGTATATCAAGTGCCCCAGACGCTCAGTCCAGGAATGTTTACCTTAATTTAAAAATACCTAAAATAAGTAAAAATGTATATTTGGGAGGTTCAAAATAATCTTTTTTTAATAAGATTTTTCACATATGATTTTCGTAACAGTTTAGGAAAAGTCACGCGTCGCCACTGAATTTGTGTGATTCAACAAGATATTATCTTTGCAGGCAGACCATGTCTGCGCCATCTACAGCTGGCTTCTAAAAACGCTCGATTGAAAACCGCTCTAAGAATACCAGAAACGAATTCACCAGGCCTGCAAAAACATTTTTCTTCTTGGACTCCACTAGCGTTAGAGTTTCTCAGTTGCTGTCTACGAATGGACCCTACACACAGACTTTCTTGCACAGATCTGCTGAAACATCGGTACTTCACCCATGACCGGTATGTAGAATTTAGCAAAGGTACTTAGGCAGGCAGGTAGTCCAAAATCATTTTCTATCAACGCCAACTTGAGTCCTATGAGTGTTTGGTAGGATTTCTCTTGCTGTCACATTTCGGAATATTCGATTACTTCTCCTGTTGTTGGTGGTTATATTCAATGTAAAAATGGAGTCAAGTAAATTGACTATGTACTTCCACGCCACGCTGTCATCAGTTCGTAAATGATTATGTTTGGCATAGGTTCAGTCATCTCCTGCCTATCTTAGCACTTAGTAATTCCTCTAATAGGCCCGTACTTATACTACCGTGTGGCGTTCCCCCTTTTCCCATGTATCCCCCTATAGCCCCACGGTACCCAATGGGTGCTTAGGCCTTAGGCCTTCGTGGTAGTTTGAGTATAAAAAAAAACTGTACTTATACTAGATTAGACACTTGACGCTGAATTTTTGTTTATCCCTAGGTTTCCTCAGCGTTTTTTGCCAAGTTTACGAAACAAAGTTAACACGGAGCTCAGCAGTCCATTGCTGAGAAAACTGAAGACAGAGATACTAATGTCGACAGATAAGCGCGACGAAAGGAGGACTACCCTGACCAACTGGACCATTTCCTTGAAAGAAGGAAGCATGAAAAGGAAACTCAGTGGTGATACAACAGCCAGTGAAGTTATATCGAATGCCAGGTAAAATTAGCTGTAGTACCGTTACTCAATCACTACAATTCTTTGTGGAGATCCTTTGGCATTGAAGTACCACAGCAAGTGGCTGTAACCGGCCGGGTGGTTGAGGTTAGATGTCGCCTTGAAATTTCGAGGTCTCTAGCCATTTTCTACGACAATGTGTAGGTTGGCTCTTGTTGTGGACTTCGTGTGTCGTTTTTCCCCCTCCAACTTCGTTTCCTCAGGTTACACCCGTATCCGGATGTGTGGGCATGTGTATCTACTTTTGTAGTTTCATATGTGCATTCATTTCGGGCCTGATGAAGCCAACCAGCAGAAATACGTATCGCTCGGGTTACCTATCCTATTTTCTGCTCGAATCCACTTTCCTCCTTTTTGCGGATTTTGCCCATTATTTTTCTACTTGTTGTTATATACATATATATATATATATATATACGAGCCCCTTCCCACTTCAGTTGGCCCACTTCTAGATTTGTACCAAAATATGCCTTTATAAACTAAACATGACGAAACAATGTGCGAATAAATGCGCGAAGTTAACAAAGCAACAATTGAAAGATTACCATTGGGTAACATCACCTCTATTTTTTATTACGGCTGAAAAATTCTTTTGTTATAGTGTTAACCAAGTTCTGGCAAATATTTGATGTAAAACAATCCCATATTTCTTGAAGCTTTTGTCTCAGTTCGGTGATTGTACGAGCAGGATGTTGTCGTAGAACCTTTTTCATCTCGTGCCACAAAGTTTCGATAGGTGACAGATATGGACTGCTAGAAACCCATTTCAAAAGTGGTACATCATTTTCTTCCATCCATTTTATAGCATTTTTTGAGGTATGGCACGCTGCACCATCTTGCTGAAACACAAAATCTTGGCCGGATGTCAAACATTCTTCCATCACTGGTAAAAGCGATTCTTCTAAAATTGCTAAATATTTGTTTGTATCCACATTTCCATTAATAAAATAAAGTTTTTCTACTCCTTTTGATGACATACTGTTCCAGACCATAATGGATGCTGGAAATTTCACTTTTCTCTTCAGACAGTCAACATGGAATGCTTCATTTTTTGCGAATAACTCTACTGCGACTGTCACCAACACAAACTTCGAATCGGGCCTCATCACTCCATTGTATTGCACACCATTGTTGTGTCCATTGTCTATGTTCTTTAGCCCATCTAAGCCGATTTTCCTTTTGCAGTGGAGTTAATAGTGGCTTTTCTTTGGCCTATAAACAAATTGTGCAACTTTAGGGTTTTTACTTCACTTTTTTTTGTAAGAAAACTTACCTTGCAAGTGCTAAATCCCAGTTTGTGGGCATCTCTATGAGTTGTGGACCTCGAAATTGTCCTTCCAACATCGTCACTCCATAGAGCACTTAATTGTAAATAATTGACACGCCTGTTTTTCACGATTATTCTTCTTAATGCTCTTCGGTCGGCATTTGTGATATTACTTTTTTTCACATATCGTGGCTTAATTTTGTTAGACTTATCGTGGTACAGTGTGAGAAATATTGTTAGAAGATATAACGCAACTGGTTCAGTTAATATTAAGCCACGATATGTGAAAAAAAGTAATATCACAAATGCCGACCGAAGAGCATTAAGAAGAATAATCGTGAAAAACAGGCGTGCCAATTATTTACAATTAAGTGCTCTGTAGAGTGACGATGTTGGAAGGAGAATTTCGAGGTCCACAACTTATAGAGAGGCCCACAAACTGGGATTTAGCACTTGCAAGGTAAGTTTTCTTATAAAAAAAAGTGAAGTAAAAACCCTAAAGTTGCACAACTTGTTTATAGGCCAAAGAAAAGCCACTATTAACTCCAGTTCAAAAGAAAAATCGGCTAAAGAACATAGAGAATGGACACCTCAACAATGGTGTGCAATACAATGGAGTGATGAGGCCCGATTCGAAGTTCGTGTTGGTGACAGTCGCAGTAGAGTTATTCGCAAAAAAAATTAAGCATTCCATGTTGACTGTCTGAAGAGAAAAGTGAAATTTCCAGCATCCATTATGGTCTGGAGCAGTATGTCATCAAAAGGAGTAGGAAGACTTCATTTTATTGATGGAAATGTGGATACAAACAAATATTTGGCAATTTTAGAAGAATCGCTTTTACCAGTGATGGAAGAACGTTTGACATCCGACATCCGATTTTGTGTTTCAGCAAGATGGTGCAGCGTGCCATACCTCAAAAAAAGCTATAAAATGGATGGAAGAAAATAATGTACCACTTTTGAAATGGGTTTCTAGCAGTCCAGATCTGTCACCTATTGAAACGTTGTGGCACGAGATGAAACAGTTTCTGCGACAACAACCTGCTCGTACAATCACCGAACTGAGACAAAACCTTCAAGAAATATGGGACTGTTTTGCACCAAATTTTTGCCAAAACTTGGTTAACACTATGCCCCAAAGAATTTCAGCCGTAATAAAAAATAAAGGTGATGTTACCCAATGGTAATCTTTCAATTGTTGCTTTGTTAACTTCGCCCATTTATTCGCACATTGTTTATTTGTTCAGATGTTCTATTAGTTATAGGTCTAAGTGATTTCAAATATGTATTTTTTACGACTAGAGTGTATCTAAAATGTTTTTAAGAAAATAAATTGTTTTAGAAGTAAATAGTTTCGTCGTGTTTAGTTTATAAAGGCATATTTTGGTACAAATCTTGAACTGGGCCAACTGAAGTGGGAAGGGGCCCGTATATATATATATAGTTAATTGCCTTAACTGTTAGGAAATATCCTTGAATTTCTTTGGGTAGAAGGCATTGGCATAAGCACACTCTTATAACTTATACTCGAGCTTTCGAAGGTCTATGCCCTCATCGTCTGAAGCTGGAAACTATTTTTAAAAAATAGCAACAATAAACAATTAGGAGAAAAAATATATATAATTACTTACGAAGTCAGCGAGATTGTTGTTGAAATTGTTTTTAAACGACAGTGAAGGGAACACATAGTCGACGAATAAAAAACTGGACCGATGAGGTTTGATTAGGATGGAATTATTTCGTTAATAAATGGCAAATCATAGCTATGTTTTTTAAAACCTTTATATTTTGTTTTCATTAAACACTGATTGATTTGGAAGAACTTGAAAAACTATCAACTATTGAAAAATCCTTGGAGATTTATTTTCTTTTTCCTTCCTCCACATTGTTCAACGCCGCCGACTGACTTTTTTTCCTCCTAATTGTTTATTGTTGCTATTTTTCAAAAATTGTTTCCAGCTCGAGACGATGAGGGCATATAACCTTCGAAAGCTCGAGTTTAAGTTACAAGAGTGTGCTTATGCAATACTTCGCCTTCTACCCAAAGAAATTCAAGGATATACAGGGAGACTTCGAAGTTGAGTCATTTATTTTAACAGTGAGTAGGCCTGATCAAAAGAAATGTTTTTTTCCTTTAACATTTTTCTGGTAAAATTAAAGTAACAAAGTTATAGCCGTTTAGAAGTTTGAGTTCCGCCCTGTCTCAATAATAATATTATGTGCTCGTGTTTGGCAATAACGGATATAATCCGCCTTATCGGTTCATCGCATCGGAAACAAAAAAGCGAAAGAATTTGAAACGTTTATCACGATGTTTTTCGTCAGTCGGTAACGCGTGAGTGAATAGTGGTGTTTGTTGCGTGACTCAAACGAAATGAAAAATGGCACATGTTTACGAAAATGCTGAACTTGTGGACATGATTCTTATTTACGGGGGGGAGTCTTTACAAAATGCTGCCGCGGCATCACAGATTTGTGCGAATCGGTTTCCCAATCGAGTGCAACCAACCCCTCGTGCCTTTGTTAATGTAGTACAAAGGGCTCGTGAATCAGGTGACTTAAGACCTCACAGGGGAGGGCATGCCGGTGCTCCAAGACTGCTCGATCAGATACAGGGCCGCACTGAAATACTTGTCGGGAGGATACTTTATAAAACAAGGTAATATTTTTTTTTTATTTTTACACACATTTTGGTTTATCTTCCTTCTACAATCATTATCTGAAAATTAATGACTCAACTTCAAAGTCACCCTGTATATATGAGCAGTAGTCATTGCCAAAGCCAACGACCAGTTGGACACAAAATACAATTAATTGTTAATTGGGAAATTGGCAAATTTTTAGGCTTAAGTTGAGTCTTTTGACGATAAAATCAAGCTTTCGGCATTCTCTATTGAGCCTTCATCAGGATTCTGAAAACACAATTGTGATGCTAGTAAAGAATACAGGACAGATTTAAATTGTCACACAACTTACTCGTCGTTGAGGTTGCAGCCACAAGGTGTTTCAGAACGAACGTAGAGAAGATAGAACTTGTTATAAATATAAAAACAAAAGGACGGAGACATTGGGCTTGTTGATAACGACAGATGCCTTCGTTACATGTTAAAAATATCAATACACCCGAACATATTAAAAATTATTACACATGAGAAGACATTTTAGGGAAACAATCGGAATGCAGTCTCTAACCTCCTACTTCCGCTACACGTGGAGAGGGGGACGGCACGGAAAGATAATGCGTCGACAGATGACAAGTGATTGACGCGACGGAACGTGGAACTGTAAACCTCATTGTCCAATTTGGGTATGAAGTATACGAGGGACGCTCGGTAAACCTCCACCCAAATTACTAAAATGCTGAATTAGTTTGTTTTGGAAAAATGTGTAGTTCATATGAGTGTACGAATGTGAGATAGTGATACAACCTTGAAAAGATGAGTTATGTGAGTTTATATTATTTATGAGTGAGAAATTTCAATTACCAGGATAGCAATTGGAAATGTATTCTAATTTTGGGACGATGTTGGTTCGATTTGGATATGTAGCCGTTCTAGCTTTTCGCCATTCAAGAGGTAGGAATAAATGACACTATCTGCTTAACATCAGCCTTTTTATTCATGCAATGGTCTGCCATGAAAATGTGGGAAATTTCTAAAAATAAACGTTTTGAGAGTCTTTTTTTGTCAAGAACCTCAATACTGCCATAATTCATAGAGTGACATGTGTTGTTAATATGAGATGCCAAAGCACATCTCTCTGGATGTAATCTGCCGTCACTTTTGTGTGAAGTTATCCTGCCTTTCAGTGACCTCGAAGTTTGGCCTAAATAAACTAAATTACAGTTGTTGCAATCAATGCGATAGCCAGTGTTGGTTGAATCAAGCAACTGAACCTTATCCTTCATTTTGGACAACAAACTGTTGACTGTGAGCACTGATTTACAAGCAAAACAACAATTAAAGGCATTATACAGCCTGACCAATTTTGGTGTTAGTTCTTTGATGTATGGCAAGACAACATAATTAACTCTGGAAATAGGAGCAACCACCGCAGTGCTGTTATTCTCATTGGTTGAAGAATTCATGGGTATCTGGTTGGCCGAACAGTGTTGTCATTTTCACTATTGTTATTCGTCAATCGCAAAATATTCGGAGGAGAGCTGAACAAGATTCTGTTAACCAAATACTTCGGATAGCCATTGTTGATGAATAAGACTGAAAGCTTCCTTAAATTGGAAAGATGGAAAGTACTGTCAGAGATTTTTATAACCCTGTTCTTCATTTGTTTCACCAGGTTTATTTTTATTTTAAGTTCGTGGTAAGACCTGAAGTTCAGGAACCTTCCGGAAGAAATTGGTTTCCCTTACCAGTCTATCAGTAATATATTGTCATTGGTGCGAATCAGTCTTGAATCCAAAAAAGAAACAGATTGATTGTCATCTTCTTTTTCGATGGTGAACTGGATGTAGGGCTCGTAACTGTTAAAAACCTCAACAATATCATCCACCCTATCATAAGGAAGACAAACGATAATATCGTCCACATACTTTTTTATGGAAGTTAGATTGTATGGCAATACTTGAATAACAACATCAAGCAGGTCATCCATTACATATTCTACCAAAATTGGAGATAACACAGAGCCCATGGGGCAACCATGTATTTATGAAAACACTTTGTTATTAAAAGTAAAATAATTGTTCTGGAAAAGGTACTCTACGATATTGATGAAAGAATCCAGAGTTAGGTTGCTGTGTTGGCAAATTTGATCCCAATGTTTGTTGATGGATCTGATGCAAGCTTCTAAATACACATTACTGAACAGTGAAACTACATCTAGACTCGCAATAACATGATCAGGGGGTATTTGAAACCTATTAAATTGTTGACAAACATCAAAAGAGTCTTTTATAAAGTATTCTCCTTTGATGTGAGCTGACTTTAGAGTATCTGCAATTAATGAAGATAAAGCTAGTGTGGCTGATTCAACAGAAGACACAGTAGGTCTTACTGGCAGTACAGGTTTGTGTATTTTGGGAAGAGCATAAAATCTAAGAGAGTCATAATTATAAGTGATTAAGGACTCCTTTTCGTCCTGGTTGATTTGACCAGTGCTGAGTAGCCTGTTCACAATGTCATTGCAACCTTTCTATACTTTAGATGTAGGGTCTTTGTTGATAACCTTGTAAGAGTTATCATTATCAATCAAATTATTACATAGGTCAAAATATTGTTGTCTTAACATAATTACGGTAACATTGCCTTTGTCTGATTTTGTAACAATTAACTCGGGATGATCCTTAATAAATTTCCTTGTTTTATTTAACAGGTTGTAGTAGAAGGAGTGTTTTTTGTTGATGCTACTGTTATGAAAGTAATTTGTTGTGTGTGTGTGTGTTGCAATGTTCCTTTCTGTGTCATCACTAATGGAAGAAGATATAGAATCAACATCAGCCAGAATATGTCTGATTGCAATGTCACTGTTGACAAACGGTTCAACGCTAAGTTTTGGACCCAACGACAGAAAACTTGCGATGTCATCTGGAATGCTGACATTACTGAGGTTCTTTACCCAGTTGAGGAAAATTTTCATTGTGTCACTTAGTAACCTGTTAAACTTGCGTATATTCGAATTTTTGATAGAATGGAACAATGTATTATAATGTCTTAATTGTCTCGATTGAAAAGTATTGAAAATTAAGAGGCACGTGAGTGAAATGATTTCAGTTTTCAAACGTTCAAGGGATGAATGATTTTTTTTAATTGTTTATGACAAGAAGAAATTTCAAGCGAAAGTATTTTCTCACCCAACCTTTGTAAAGGAGATTGTAGTCCATCCTCTGCAAGGTGATTGTGTAATGTAAAATGTCTTCTCATGTGTAATAATTTTTAATATGTTCGGCTGTATTGATATTTTTAACATGTAACGAAGGTATTTGTCGTTATCAACAAGCCCAATGTCTCCGTCCTTTTGTTTTTATATTTATAACAAGTTCTATCTTCTCTTCGTTCGTTTTGAAACACCTTGTGGCTGCAACCTCAACGACGAGTAAGTTGTTTGACAATTTGAATCTGTCCTGTATTCTTTACTAGCATCACAATTGTGTTCACAGAATCCTGATGAAGGCTCCATACAGAATTGATTTTATCGTCAAAAGAGTCAACTTAAGCCTAAAAATTTGCCAATTTCCCAATTAACAATGAATTGTATATCTATATATACACCTACATATATGTATATATATATACAATTAACAACGCATATTTCAGATCATTCTTCGACAGCTTTGTTATAACGAGTAGGATTTAACATATTGCAGCCAAGATGCCAAATAGCATGTATCCTATAAGACCCTTTAATGCATACGAAGTGATTTTTGCTTCAGATACAGCATTTTTGACAAAATCAGCATGAATCAAAAACGGGAAAACAATCAGAACCGAGGGACGTTAGATTCTTCCATAAGCACCCCACAACCGAAAACGAATCCAAATGGCGCAGAAATCCAGATGTTAGAGAAATCCTTACAGTCTCTTGTCCGTTTGAGCAACCCAAAACTCGATCAGAAAGCACGACCTTCGACTGCCGAGAGGAACGCAACCACGCACATCATGCTGACTGAGTCGCCTCCACCGTTCCAGTCGTTGCATTTTGGGATCGGCAACTTCAGTAACAACAAATCGTCTACGGGTGGCGGCCAGAATGTCCTCCATCCGGCAATTAGCAATATCAGTTTCGGCAGGGAGGGGCAAAAGAGGTCACCTATTAATCTCGCAGGCTTAAATGGGAAGGTAAAAAATAATGTGGGAAATATAGTAAAAAATAGCGTTATAAAGGGTGACTCTGTACTTCCCACGCAACGTTGTCATCAGTTCAAAAATGATTATGGTTGGAGTTAGTCCCTCTGGACAAAAAAATTAAATGGATTAAGTCAGCCAAACAGGCCAATGCATTTAGGGCCGTAACGTCAGTTGTACCTACAATTGTAAGTCGCCTTTATGGCCTCCTTGATTGTCATAGTCTTTTCTCTCCTTCAAACATTTCTAGATTGCACCTGTTCCGTGTGAACGTCAGCGCTAACCTATTGTGAATTTATGTTTTCTTTTTCAATTCCAGGCTGATAAAACATCATATAAATCGAAAGCATGATCAATTTGACGCACATAGATATTTATAACCTCAAAATAGAGCGCTGACACTTAAAAGCAGAAAATGGAAATCAAGGAGGCCATAAAGGCGTCCTACAATTGTAGGAACGACTGACGATACGGCCCTTAGTCCTTGCTCCTTAGTCCCCACCCATTTGATGACGCTAACGCTAGTTTTTCCCCTGTTCTAAGTATCGACCATCGGGCAACGGTGCTGAACCACACTAATATAGTAAAAACTAACTCGAGAGAACCCCGGCGATGCAGTCAGAGTCAATCAGACGTAGACACGCAGACAGTGCTCAGCGTATATGGTTTCGTCTCAGCCGACTTGACCGCCTGTTACGTCTATAAATATTTAGGGAGAATGCTCGGGAAAAAACTATGATATCTGAAATATGTACTGACAGGAGCGTAAAATGAATGAGATTCGGAATGTAAATCAAAAATCTCCACTCCGCCACCACTGGATCGGATTTCAAAAACTGCAAAGCTTTTGCGTCCTTAGTAACACTGTGTAAAGATTTCATCGAATTCTGAGCGGCACTTTTCAAGTTATAGGCAGATTAGCAAACAGACCGACTGACAGACAGACCGACGTAAATGAGTAATACTTATAGTTTTTCGTGACATACATGTCATATAAAATCCAAAAAATATATCTCATTTTCGAGAAAAAATACTATATGATCTCTGAAAATAAGTCCATTCATAAACATAATGTATCTTGCGTTCAACACATTGTTTCCAACGTTTTGCTATGTAATTTACACCTTGCCGGGAGTGATTTTCTGGGAGCGTTACTAAATACACGTATGTGACTGTAGTGACTCCGTCACGTAGACTTTTCAAATCATGGAAACAAATTAAAGACAGAAAATGCTAAATATGGTTAATTGTGTGAGTTTTCAAGCGTTTCGAAATGTAATTGGGAGGTTCTATTGTTAGAACAGTTCTGTGAATAGGTACATTGAGGTGATGGAAGACGATAAAGTTAGCGAATGCGGCATCTACCTCCCAAACAGCTTTCTAGACCCTAATTTAGTTTTCAAAATATGAAGTATAATCGAAATAATATCTTTATCAGAATGGACTACTGGAGAGAGAGAAAAGCTGTCTGTTGGAACTGTATTTGACAGCCGGGTCACTACTGTGGCCGCTAGATGCCGTCGATTTTGGTCATATAGGAGATGCGGTCTACTCGTCATTGAACAGTAGGTAATAAAGCTTTCATTCGTCTGAACACAGAGACTGCCAACCATGGACAGCTGTTTCGTATTTGGCAAGTCCTCAGCTTGGTCTCAGGTATCCTGTATCCAGAGCCGCTTTCCAGTGCTTTTGGATAGAGAGCTATATGCACCCGGAGTTTGACGTTCCCAAACAGCTCTAGCAAATGTGCATGCGAACGCAACGATTAAAACCTAATATATTTTTTGATGTTTTGCTTTAATGTTGACAGTTTGTGATCACACTGCCAGCTAACAATGACAATGTGAAACACATTTTGCCTTTATTTTCAGAAGCATTGTCAGACTATCCAATTGATGCCTGATGATGCTTTTAGAATGATGGCGCAACACATCAGAGGTCTGCATTTTTATTGTAAAACTTTTGTGTAAATGTGTCGAATTTATAATTTAGTAGAGGTTCAACATTATTTTCAAAGCATCTAGTTATAGTTGAAGCCAACTACAAGCCACTATAAACTTGTCTTCTTGGGCTCTCCTGTGATCTTTATTATTCAGGAACATCTCAAATGTATGTTGTGACTCTGGGTCATACATTATCTGTCATTTTCGTTATCCCCACTATTTCGGAGCTTTTAACACCCAATAAAAAGCTAGTGCATGAGGGGGCAGGGGATTTCAAAAACGAGTAGCTCAGGTGCATGACGATCTAGAGCAGTGGAACGGAAAATTAACGTTGTGCTCACTACAAATATTTAATTCATTTATCAATTTTTAACGATTTAATTCTACCAACAGAAATTATACAAGAACACGAGAGTATAACTTACAGGGCGTTGCACTTGATAAAATACCTACAAGGTAATAAAAAAACTGAATCCGACCCTGAAATTTTGAGTTTACAAAACATCTCTAATTCAATTTTCAGCATTATTTTGTAAAATATTGATGAAACCAAATTGATAACCCTTGAAACGTTTTGTTTTGTCAGATAAACTGCTAAGAATACAATTTTTTAATAATTAATTTTGTTTTACTAAAATACCAAACGAGTTATAATCAATCTATTTTGCTGAATAATTAGTACCGTTCATTGACTTTTTTCTATGGGAAAAAGACAAGATAAATAGGAATCGCTCAAACTTCGTTTTTTGACGTTTCTGATCTTTTTCGGAAAATCTTTTGTAGCAGTTAAAATTTGGGGGTTCGGGGTTATAAAGAGTGGGGAGGGTATGCCTCAATTGCCTGACATTAGTACATGTTTCACACATCATAGTTTTCCCCGTACATGTCTCGTTAACGCTCAGATAAATATTGGGTTAAGTTGAAAAACGCTTTTTAGCAACACTATATACTTTGTATAAATAAAGCCGGATTATTATTATTATTATTCATTATTAATCAATGCACGTACGTCGATGATAAAATCACGATGCCAGGAACATAACGACAAGAAATTTATATTATGATTTTGCGAAGTTAAGTTATTTCACAGATTATTTTTATTTTCATTTTATTTCATGGTTTTGAGTGATACCTAAATAATAATTTTATGTGGATTTAAAAAAAAAACAGTTATGAGTAGGATACCTTGAGACAGGAACATGAAAGACCAAAGAATTATTCGAAAACAACCTAACCTGCTTTAATATAACCCAACTATTTAAATATGATCGATCATGCAACATGAAAACATCGTCTATCTTTGTCGGATACATGCAAATTAGCAATACAGTTTGTTTAGACAATAAAATTCTGTTTGCCTCTGTCTAACATATCTGAAACTTCATTAAAAATATTCACAAATCGCTGTCGTTCGTCTTTACTACAGACTAAAACGTAATCGTCAGCTTTCGTGATTTCGACTATACGCGCACAAAATTCTGACTGCGACCGATAGCGCTCACCGCTCGCATGGCTGACTGGTACGTTTCAGTGACATGCCAGACGGCCTATACGTTCGGCGGGGCAGGGAAGAGATTTCTGGAGTTATCGAATGAGTGGGGACTATGGACGAATATTACAATTATTGTATGGGCTTGTTTGGATGACTTGATCCATTTCATTTTTTTGCTATACATACATGTCCGAAGCTAACTTTTACCTCAGAAGAGCCAGCCTTGTGCTGAACAAAATGTGCTCAGTAACATTAGAAGACAAAATAATTACTTCAACTTGTTGTTTTGGAAACATAATAACTATATTTCAAGCATGCTGTGGCGACAATGTCAACGTGTTATCTTTGTTTTTGTTTACCTTTGTGAAGAAAGCACTTTCTGAGAGCTGAATAGTTAAGATATTTTTAGTTATTCCCCAATCATTGTACTGCAATGACGGTAATGCAAGTGTGCCGTGTGTTAATAGAAGGTAGACGAACTCGAAGAAGGCCAACTGGTCCACCGAGGCGTACCACAGAGCGTCAATATAGGCGCTTCAGATAACTAGTCCTCGAGACCGTTTTGCTACTACGCCTCAAATCGCTGATCATTGGTTTTGAGAAGAATGTATATCTGTTACTATGCGTATACGCTTTCGCCGCATTCGAACCTTTGGGCTTTTTTCATACCGTCCACGGTTAGTGCTTCCTCTGACTGTGAACCACTGTCGTCAACGTTTGAACTGGAGCAGAGAACGGCAACATTGGGAGCCTGAATCACATAATGTCATCTTCAGCGGCGAATCACGATTCTGTCTAGGCATGCACGTTGGTCGTAGAAAGGTAAGATGCCGCACTGGCGAACGGCGTGATATTGGATTTGCTCTTAAGAGGCAGGTACACAGGACTGTTGAAGTAATTGTTTGGTTGGCTATATGCCTATGGTAGCTGATCACCCTTCAAGGATCAAGGTAATATTACCGCTGCATGTTTTTCTTATTACTTGTCAATCAAATTTCGTGACAATGTTATCGTTTCATTCTTGATGTAAGACTACCTCGGTGCTAAAAAACAGATTGAAGAAATTATTTTTTCTGGGTGTAACACTTCCAATGTTACTGAGTATATTATGAATTGATGATATCGTTGCATGGGAAGTGCAAAGTCAACCTACTTGTTTACAATTAACATTGATCTTTTCAACAGTTATCGCAAGCACCGCTTTTCGTTAACACCCGAAGCAACTTCCTGAAGAAGCTGGATCGGAACCTGGTGGTGGAAAACATCTACGCGACGGGCGACCACCACCATGGCCAATTGTGGGGAGGCGCGCCTGTGTGGTTGAGCGGCCTCGCCACTCCCGCTAACCCCAAGAAGAGAGAACAAAGGGACCCCAAATCGAAGTCGGAAGAGTTCACGTTGCCAAATCTACCTGGAGGTATATTTTCCTATAACTACGGATTACTCTTTTCGCAATCTGAATGTATAAAGGAACTCAAAAGACAGTTGCAATTTTTCTAGTGAAGGAAGTAGATCTGACAATGTACAAAAAGTACAGGGTGTTGAAATAAAATTTCAAAATGAAAAAATGTATACAGGGTGTTCCTTAATGATATACGAATATTTGAGGGTGTGGATTTAGATGAAAAATTAATATTAGTTTGCTTTATAAACTATGGTCCAAAAATATTTCCTTACATAAACTCTTGGTGTTGAAGTTTTAGGAAAAAATGGAAATTAATTAATATTTTCAGAACCGCATCAGATATTTCACTGATATTTAGTACGTGGTGAAAGTTAATAAAGTTGCATATTTTTCAATGCAAAAACAATTTCTAGCTTTAACAGTGGCGAGCGTACGGGTATTGACTTCGATACTTTTTAAGAAAAAAATAGTACGCCAACGTTTTTTTGTCAAATAAAAATAATTTTTGGATTCCCCGTTCAATTTAAAACAAATGATCTCTCTTGAATTGTTCTTTTTCGATGCGCCATTTTTGACCACTACTGTACCATCACTCTACTCTACCTGCTTATTATTCACTCCGTTGAACCTTCCGGTAGGAGTTTTGTGTACAAAAATCTAAAGAACGTAAAAAACAGTCGAAGAAATGTCATCTTGCATACCAGGCAGTGTTTAGTGTGAAAAAAATTTCATTCCACATTTGCCCGCTATGATCGCGGTTCGCTGACGCTTAAAACAACAAGTAAAGCTACAAAACGAGCCCACAATAAGTGTACAACAGCTTGTCAGTTAGACCTGAAATGTTTGCTCACGTTCTATCGGCATACTAAATAAAAATCAAATTCTATTGGCGGATTCTTTCGACGGGAAGTACAAATAAGTCAAGCGGAATCGCACAGCAACCCTCTGTTGTGTGATTCAGTAGACTATACAGTCGAGCAAGTTCGCAAACATTCCAGGCCGCGCCTCGCACTGTGATCAAAATTAAATTGTAAATTCAGACCAGCCAAAATTATTTCAGTATACAAAACCGATCAAAATTATTTTTTGGAGTTACAAAATAAATCGCGTAGTCAAAGCAATAATGCTTAAGCTATTCCAAATGATCTACTTCTTTTCTTTGCTCTATTTCTTCCTTCCTTTCTTTCCTTCTTTCCCTTTTCCCCTTAAACATGTTTGGTATCTGCGTAGCCAGACCTGACAGACTAACCGACCGACGAGACTTTTAACTAAGAGCAAAAGTCCACCGGACCGCTCTGACGAATAGTAGTAGTACAAATAAGTTTTTTCCAAAACACATCCATGAAGAATGGTGATAGAAAATAATTTTAGCTATAAAAGTTCAGATTTGTCTACGTGGAAAAGTATTTTTCAGATTACACCTCCATGTACATGTCTAAAATATTCCAAATAGCAACGAAAGTTATATGAGCATTCCTTTTTAGTGACAACCACTCCTGTAAAACCGAAAAAGAAGAGCCTACCTGAAATAGAATTACCACATTCAACTGAGATATCTCCAGTAAGTATTTACCTTATATAATGCTATGAATGTCATAACAAAAGTAGGCACAACGCAACACAACACATTATTCGCTTCTTTGTCAAATTCGATCAATAGATTATTTTATTTCCTTATGTTTCGTTAACAATAATTCAACTAGTTGTTCTACTATTTGGGAATTATACAACCTATAGTATGCTTATAAGCAACTTAGTTAAGTCAAATCAGTATGATATCATTCAAGTTCAACTCGATTTCGTTAGCATTGCTTTTGCGTTCTCGCCGAAGCAATTTCTCCCTGCAGACATTCGTCTGAAAATTTCTGACTAAAGAGCTGCAATTAAGCAAGCGAAGAGGTCTTGTCATCCAGATGACATTCGCAGAGCGACGAATCTTTTTCATGAAGTGAGAAATGCTCTTCATGAATTCCGTAATGAGCAATGGAGTGACTTTCTATTGGTAATGCTTGACTCAAGTATTCCTATCTGGAAAGTCGCAAAGTCGCTCAGAAATGGAGAGCGAAAACAACTCCCGAACATCCACTGTCCTGGGGTCATAGTCGGTAGGACAGAGAAAAAGGTCGAGGTTTTCGCTGATGCAATGGAAAGTCAGTCCTCTCCCAACTATGCCCTTGATAATAATCTTGACGAGGAGCAACACATTGTAAGATCCCTCAGAAGATATTTAAGGCACAACGGCGTCAGTGGCAGCAGCGCCTCCCTTTGTGATCATTCCTCAGAGGAGTATTCAGAAGATTCCTCAACTGAAGAGCTGCATGACACATCAGCGGAGTCTCCTAAGATTCCGCATTGCCCACCAGCCGAGCTTCAAGGTCATATTAAAGCCACCAAGGTGCGTAAAGCACCTGGAGAGGATCTAATCACTAATAAAGCGCAAGCTGCTTTCGCGGAAGTCCTTAACTTATCTCGTGGCAATAATCAATGTTATGCTAAGGACCCAGCACTTCCCAGCGGCGTGATTCCAAAGAAGGTGGGTTCAATATTCCCCCAAGATTACCGCCCCACTAATCTACTGTTAGTTCCTTCTAAGCTCGCTGAAAAGGCGATTCTACGTCACCTTGAAAATTTCTCGTCAGACCACAATGTGATTCCTGACGTGCAATTTGGCTTTCGGTCTGAGCATAGTACGGAGCTACAGGCCTTTAGGCTTGTTAAACGAGTAACCAGGGGGTTCACCCGTAACGAAAGTTCTGGCATCTAGCTTCTGGATGTCTTAAAGGCATTTGACAAGGTGTGGCTTACGGGCGTCCTCTACAAATAATTGATCCATAAGAGCTTCCCCTTCTGGCTCCTAAAACTTTTGAAATCCTCCCTTGAGGGTAGGAAATTTCGGATCAAAATTACTAACGTTCTGTGTCCCTCAGGGTTCGGTTCTTGGACCAGTCCTTTATCCACTTTTTATTCTTGACGGCCCCTGCTCCAGCAACTGTGAAATCTATCTCTATGCTGATGTCACTGCCCTGGTATGCCAGTCGTGTTCTGCGAATGTAGTTCACGAGAGGCTGCAAAGTACAGTGGACAAGATATTGGAATGGGCGAATCGGTGGCTGATCAAAACTAGTCATTCCAAAACGCAGGCTATCAAATGTACTAAGAAATGTAGCGGCGCCCCGTCTGAGGTTTCAGTGAATGGAGCTCGGGTACCATGAGAAAGTTCTGCTAAGTATCTCGGTGTCACTCTTCACAAGGAGATGACCTGGCTGAAGCACACTGAAGCGTTAAAAACTAAATTCCAAATCTCGTTTCGGCAACTCTTCCCTATGCTAAGTGGAACATCAAAATTAAGTTTGATCAGCAAGGTTCGGCTATACAAGATGGTTATTAGACCAGCGATCACTTACGCAAGTGCGGCTTGGTGTTTTCTCGCCAACACGCATCTGCGTAGCCTGCAGGTTTTGTAACACAGAACCTTGCGTACAATCACTAACGCCCCATGGTATGTCGCCAATAAGAGCCTTCACAGAGACCTTGACATCCCTCAAACAACAAGCGCAGGTACGTTAAAGTCAAGCGGAATCGCATAGCAACACTTTGTTGCGCGAGTCAGTAGACTACACAGTCGAGCAAGTTCGCAAGCACACAAGGCTCGCACTGTGAACAAAATTAAATCGTGCGACTTTAGGTCCACCCAAAATTATAATTTTTCTTCAACAACCAATCTGTAAATTAATTTTAGGATCAGCTTAAAATAAAATATTCGGAACTTTACAGGCAATAATCAGCAAGTTTTCCTAGTAACGTATATTAAGAAAACAGAGAAAAAAAATTAAATGGGCCGATGTTTTGTGCTGCTATGTGAGTTGATATCCAAATCCAGCACCAGCAGTGTGTAGGTTAGCCTAGTTTCCGAACAAATCTCATTTGTTAAATCAAAATTGATGTTACCTCACTGTGAGCGTTTTTCAAGATCTCATTGATACACTGCAAGTGTATTCAGACCGTATAACAGGGCAGTACCTACAATTTCTTACCAAATGTAATTATATTTCATTTTAACGTTTTCCGTGCTGTTTACCGCAAATTAGCTTTGTTATCTCAAAAGTAGTTACTTCTGAAAAGCAAGAAAAAAAGGAAGGTCTTAACTTTCAGGTCTCCCTGTGTACTTACTGTTGAGAAGGCAGAAAATTAATTATTATTTATTCAATGCCCTGATTGAAAAGAAATCGTATAGGTAACGTATTTTATATAAAAGTTATACAGATCAATAAATCGGCCTATATATTCTCTTATCCACAAAAAGAAAACGCCCAATACATAACTACAATACAATGAAATATTGCGGAAAACAAAGCCTTGTATGCGAACAGATTTCTTGAATCTGGTAGATTATTAACTTGCTTGTCACAATTCTTGCATCAACAGTAGCCCTCCTGGAACGTTTTCAACGCTGCTGCTTCAACTGAATCATCACATGATGAATGCTCAGAAGCCAGCGAAGTAGCTTTGCGCGTGGTCTGCCCTTACAGTCGGTATCAACGGATGCACTACTGGTTGTGGCTGGTATCCTGCCAATTGAAAAGAGGCTGAAAAGAGATGCACGCTCTATAGAATGGCGCCAAACATAGATGCGTCAAATAAGAGGCGTTTTGCCAGATGGCTGGAGAGATATAATGCAACTGGTTATGGTGCATGGACTAGCAGACTGGTCTCTGACATTAAGACTTGGACTGACAAGAGAGCGGTGGGGCTGGTATAGTATATACTGCATAGATCCTCATAGGGCATGGTTGTTTTGACATCTACCTGAAGAGAGTACGCGAACTGCATAAGTTGCAACCTAGAAGAGGATGCTCTTGAACATCTACCTGAATGTGGTAGATGGGTTGACTACAAGAGACAACAGGAATTGACGTTCGGCTGACAATTTTGCTAGGAATGTAAACGAAGGCACATGTTTTAACATTCAACCAACAGCGAGGCAGATGGTGCTAAGTAAGGTACAACATGGCGGTAATAGGCCAGGGAACCAACAATAGGCTTCTATTACCATGTACGTACATAATTATGTATGTATATGTACATCGCTGAGAATAAGATGAATAAAAACTTGGCGCAAAGTTCCCCCATGCTGAAATGCTGCTAGCATTACCGTGATGAGATGTGTAGCGAACGACTGAGGGGTTTTAACAAGTATGCCATATTTCTGAAGAATCTTACACTTCGAGCAGTAAAGCCTGACAGTTCAATACTGTGGCTTTTCTGCTTCAGAGTGGCTATAAAAGCTTTCGCCTGTCAAAAAAAGAGTTGCGTTCGATGAGAACGGTCCCTTAGAGAGAGAAAATACCGGCACTTCAAACTTCCTTCGTTGTTTCCATATATTTTTATTTGCAGACTTAAATACAACATTAACGCTTTTCGTGCTTATCATAGCTTCCTAACAGAAAATAATTTCATAGTATTCAGCTGTTCTTATTAGCATTTTCTTTTTCAGAGAGCTCAGTCATCTACCTCACAAAGCTCATCTCCATCGAAAACCGACTACTAAAAGTCAGCAATGAAACAACCAAAAATGTTCTCATGTTTTTCGTTTTCAGGAGTACAGATATAAAAAGGCGAAGAGAAAGAAGATTATAGTTGATATCAGTCTACCTGTGTTAAAGAATAATACGCCAAGTGTCCCTTGATCTAAGCATTTACAAGGCATTTATTACCCTGTTATTATTTTAATAAAATACTTATTTATACATGATTGTTTCGTTTTGTAGTAGATATCGAATCTGACATCTGCTCAACAAAACTCACCAAGAGGGAAAGCGGTGAAGGGTGTCGCAGAAACCGGTATGTCGTCAGAAGCTCTCAGAAACTGCCATCGCTGTCAGATCCGTCTCTTAAGTTTATTGATGATTTGCTCCTGCGATACCAACGGCGTTGTTCATGACTTTTGAATACTTCAATAACTTAGAGGTAAACTTCCATACTACAATGGTCATCGACGGTCACTAAGGTACGAGTATTTTCGCAATTACTTTAGAAAGTAAAGTGAATCTAGAATATGTAGAACTTTTCAGAAGATATATCTTCTATTCTACTATTTTATAAAATATTAAGACTCGTGATAAGAAACGCACAGTTGCGGTACTGTCATTATCTGTTTAGGAAGAAGTGATCGGTAAGTAGGGCTTTCGAGTATAACTCAGCAAGGCACATGTTTATTCAATTCATATAAAAACGTATACTCACATAATAAAAATATTGCTTAAACGAATCCAAATACTAAAAGAAAATAATTTCGCAGACATTAACAAAAGATGAGTTGTGAAAGACGGATGTTATCCTTCGTTTTTCTACAATATTCTTTTGATACACCTTAATGGCGTTTCATCTTCAGTTAATCAGAAATATGCTCAATGACAGCAAGTTCGGTTAATTGAAGAAGATTACACGGCTCACAGTTTATATATATATATAGAAAATTATCATGCGGAGAAAGGTATATAACAAAAAAACATATATATATATAACTTGAGACGTGGTCATTGTCGTTTAGACCAGTTAGGTGAAAAATAAAGCTTCCGCCTTTTGTTGGGTATTTCGACAAATTCAAGCAGAGGACTCTTTATACGTTATTAATCTCTAGCTTTCAATGAACTTTGCCATCTTCTCAGGAGCTGCAATAACATTGCATAGTTGCTATTTCTTTGCTTGAATTTGATGAAGTACCCAACAAAAGGCGGAAGCTATAGCTATAGCTATATATATATATATACCGTAGAAATGATTTTATACCACGTTATCAATGCTCAGGACTCTCAGGGTAAGCAAACATGGAGATTCAGATTATAATCTGAAACGAAACTGTAAAATAACTAGAGGCAGTTATCTGCTAATATAGATCACGTTGAATTGAAAACTGATTATAAAAATAGCTATACGCAGTATAAGCTAAGGTAGTAAGCTAGTAAAAATGCCTTTCAAAATAATCACAGAAATAATAAAGACTGTTTAGTTTGACGGTCTTTTTGATCAATCAAAAAGTTCAATATAAAATTTTGTTATGTCAAAAGGCCAGTTCTCATCAAGATTTTGAAAAACTAAGTGATTTTATTGCATTAGTATATTCTTTAAGTCACTTGTGATCAGCTGTTCAGATTAACTGAAGGGGGTTTATCCACAAGCTGTGGCTGCTATCAGATACCTGACTAGCATGTGCCCCCAGGCTTCTTTTTGAGACGTCAAATGATTTTTGACAAGGCACCTGCTTTTTAGTCGAGCGGCTTTGAACAGCAAGCAACTGCGCCTCAAACTCTCTGATTGGGCCTGTAAGCGTAAACTGTCCCCTCCCTATGTATCTTTCGATATGGTCGACCCTCTTAATAGACAAGAACAAAGGGGTTAATCGTTAGGCTTATATTGATTAACAAAGATGTGACGTATGTAGAAAGTATTTTTCATCAAATATGTTTTGATAGTTTAACTGATACTATTTATCTGCATGACCTTATAGCAGAAGAATAAATGATGCCACTCCAAAATGAACCCTACTGATTAATCAAAGCGATCGTTAAACAAACAATCTTTATGATGTTGACCCTAAATCTATTTATCATCGAAGAGATCATGTATCGCCTTCATTGAATGTCTAGGGCATGGGAACTTCAATGTTTCACCTCCAGTCAACGGTTGCTGTTGATGGTATTTGATGAGTTCCCCTAGAAAAAAAAAATGTTACGTTACTGAGTTATCGAAAAATGCTATAAAATAGGTCACCTCCGCATTTTCGATAGATACACAGCTCCATAAAATAAAAAAACTTTTGTGCTGGCGTCCAACTATGTTTGTCCCATCTATTTCAGAATTGAGGGTCGCTGGACAAATATGAAATCCTACTTATCAATTATATTCCTCAAAATTCACCGCAGCTTCAAATTGTACGCACCATGCCACTATGGTTCTCAGCCTAGGTAGGCTTTTTCAATGAACTTTCCCGTGACCAGAAAATAGTAGTACGTTATTATTTGTGCCAAATACCCGACAGGGGCGATCTCTCCTGTTGCATAGATTATATTTTCCAAAATATGTGCACATACACCTTTCTTTAGAGTGCGTTAGTATGGTAGTGGAACAGTAAAATATAGTTTTTTAACGGCTCTTGAGTAACACAAATTGTTAAGGCATTGTATAAAAAATCGCGAACATCGAAATGCATGAGAGATATTTGGGATCTTTTACCATTTGTACAATCCTTAAATAATTGTTTGGCTACGCCCATAAAAGGAAAACAAAGTTCTTATATGCTTACACAGACTTTTTGCAAAGATCTATAGGAAGGAGTGACATTTCCAATAGTAATATAGTTATACAGGGTGTTTCAGATTCAAGACTCGCCATTGAGATCCCAGAAACGGTAAGGCATTCAAGGTCTGTTAAATGGGGGCAAAGTAATTTATGAAATTCAGAGTACTTCCGCAGATACTTGGAAAAGGCAAATTTTCCCTAGATCGTTTCCAATTTTCCTTTACTTCATTTGAGGCAGAATTTCAGAATAAATGATACATTAAACCAATAAAACGTTTCGAATCTCGTCCTCCACGATCAAATTTATTTTTTTCTTATGGACGCCACATTCGAATTTTCGATTCGTATTCCAAAGTTATATGACATGACTGAGTAAGTCTTGAAATTATCAGATAGTCATTTACTGCATAATAGATACCACCAACCAAGCATTACGTAACTTGAAAAGTGACATTGTAGGTTTTTTTGACAGTATGTAGGATGTTTAAGACATTATGTAGGTTTTCCTACAAGACATCTACTTGAAACTAGCTGTCGTTCACTTCATGCTCACTTGCACACTACCATACTTTTTTATGTTATTACGCTCGTGTTTACAACTTTAATGATACTCATACCATGATACGGATTAATACTGTAAAACTTCAAATGTCTAAGCAAGTAAACTTCTTATTACTGCTCTTAACTCATCGAAGAACGCAATTTTCTAATTAAGTGTAGTAATGAAATGAAATTGAAAACGGTAGTTTTAAGATACTGTTAACATCCGAAACTTATCCTGTGGTTTTAATGCTGATAATTCTCCTCTTTTTTTATATGTACGAAAACGCCCAATCAAAGGACATTCTGAAAAGCTTGGAAAAATGTTTCAAGTATTCGAGATTCGAGTACTACATTTGTCGGCTCACGTAAATCTGTCAAAAAAGACACTAGCAATAGTAGAAGCATCGTGGATCAAGTTTAAGTAATTCGTTGGTTCCAGTAGATGTTTTGCCTGCTGCAATGGACATACAGGGTGTTCAAGAAAAAGAGATACTCCGATTACAAACTCGCACAATTTATTATAAAAAGTCACAAAAAAATACTTAAAAATATGGATACGAACAAGAAGATAACACCTAAAGCATATGCTCGAAGTGTCCACCATCCGCTCGAAGACAGGCTCCTACCCTTCTCTGCATATTGCGGAACACTTTATGGACTGCTGGTGTTACTGAGTTAATAGCCTCTGTAATAAGCGCTTGTAGGGTTGGAATTGAGGTGGGTGAGTTCTGGAAAACCCTGTCATTGATGTAGCCCCGTAAATAAAAATCTGGAGGCGACAAATCAGGGCTACGTGGTGGCCACAATGTTGATATCGCTCCGCAATTACATAACCGTCTAAATGCACCCAAGCCTCATCAGAGAAGAAGACCGTATCCAACTGAGCCATACCTTGGCGCACAAAAGAATTAAACCAGCGACAAAATTGTCTGCGACAAGCGTAGTCTGGAGGTTTCAATCCTTGTCATACCTCAATTCGATAGGGATACAGCTTCAATTCATGAAGAGTACTATGTACACTGCGAATAGACATTTCATGTATGCGCGGCAATTTTCGCACCGAGAGGCGAGGGTTAGCTGTAACTAGTCATGTGTCGTTCGCGAACGAGTCGTTCAAAATGAACGACTCATCTAAGTGAGCGATGATTGAACGACTCTTTTGTTAAATATGGCTCGTTCAACTGTGCAAAGCATGGCTGCACTATGCAGCAACTGAACTGCGAACTGACAACGTGGTAATAGTACAGGCACTATCTAAGGAACCCAAATGTTTTGTTTTGAGATCTCTCATTAAATTATACGTTGAAATGATGGGATTTGAGAGAAAAAGTTGCATTTTGATTCAGAACTCGCTAATTCCTCAAAACCGGACCACATATCCCTTCTTTTTTCGGAAGACAGTATACAGTCGTTATATTCAATTTCAACCAAAAATATTAATATCTAAATAAATACAGTAACATCGGCAACCCCAGTTTTCATAGTATGATGTTTATTCTCTGACTCAGTGAGTCGTTACTATAGGCAACAGAATACTCTCGTCAGCTTCGGTGCCGGTCGGTAATCGTATCGTTCAAATGAACGACTTCGAACGAACGACTCACTAAAGAGAGAGAGATAAACGAAAGGAGCGAGCTCAAGAAAAGAGTCGTATGTCTCAAGCCTAGCTGTAAAGCCGGGTTTACACGGGTCAAGTAAACGGTCAAGTTGAGCAGTAAAGTCAAGTATTTTTTCTACTTGCATCGTCTAAACAACTTCGGTCGAGTAAAGTAGAGCCTTGCGTCAAGTGACGAGGCAAGTCAAGTGGTTCTGCACGGTGAACAAGTAACTTTACTTAACTGCCACGCCCACTTCACTGGAGCGCCAACTTGACCGTCTACTTTACCAATGTAAACAGAAAATGCAAGAGTAAATAAGTTTTTGCGCATGGATTGTGGATTTGGACTCTGTGTTTTTCCAGATTCTTTATCCATGTTAATCACAGATAAGCAAATAATTTTGGTGACTTGTTATACTACAAATTGCGAATTAAGGTTGAATTTGTACAAGATTAAGTGGACAGAAGAAGAAACCATGCATTTTGTTGAACTCTATAGTGAAAAAGAGTGTTTATGGAACAAGAGTAGTGTAAATTATCGCAATAAAAACATGCGAAAAGCAGCTGAAGAGGACATCGTGAGCAGAATGGAAAAGGAAGGTTTTGGGGTGGCAGAATTAAAGCAAAAAATAAAGATAATGAGAACAAACTATAATCAGGAAGCGTTGAAGGTTTAAAAGTCTAAGAAATCAGGAGGTAAACCGGATGATATATACGTTCCAACTGTCAAGTGGTTCCGACAAATGGAAGAAATAATGGATAGCTACACAGCTGAAAACTAAAAGCATAGTAACTCAAAAGTGTATTTTTGCCACCTGCTGATTCAATCATAGCGCAAGGTGAAATTCAAAGAGTAATACAAAAATATCGATTGAATGCGCTAAATAAGAGCAGTTCTGCTTCTGAGGCTTCCGCATGAACAGCAATTCAATCACCAAACCTTTCTTGGGATGCACCTCCTGCAACTTCTGCATACAGCACTAATTACCCGGTCATGAGCGAGGATACAGTTGCAAATGATGATGCTGCTACGAGGGATGTCTTTTAAGTTTTGCATATGGAAATAAAAAAACGGCATTTTTGAATGCGTCAGCTGCTCCTTCTGGTGACTGGAACCTTTGACCACATAGTGTGTTTTTAATTTTCGGGAAAATAAAGAAATCGTTAGGACTTAGATCGGGTCTATATGGAGGATGGTCCAAAAATTCAACGGTTTCTTCCGATAAATACTGCCTTGTTTTCTGGGCTGTGTGCGAGCTTGCATTGTCTTGGTGGAGGATGATTCTACTTTCGGGGTGATTTTTTGATGACTTTTGGCAAACAAATGGTGGCATAACAATCCGCAGTAACAGTTCTTTGCTCATTACGAGGGATTGTTGCAATATGACCCGCTTTTGACACAAATGTCGCGACCATCTTTTTCGAAACACTTCGAGAACGGATGACTTTTGTTGGCTTTTCTTCATCTTGGAACACCCAAACAGCCGACTGTCGTTTATTTTCTGGTTCATAACAGTAAATCCACGGTTCATCACCACTAACAATGCTGTACACATTTTTTGAGTTTCCGGAATTGAAACGGTCCAGAGTTTTTTGACACCAATTAACCTTGGCTGCTTTCTGCTCTTCAGTCAACAGGTGGGGTATCCAACGAGAAACTAATTTTCTTACTCCTAATTCTTTATGTAAAATTTTTTGAATTGAGGTCTTTGAGATCTTCAAGGACGCCTCAATCTCACATGTCTATCTTCAATGATATGTTTGCACACAGCATCGACGATTTCCTGGGTGACTGCCGTTCTTGGTGCACCCACCCTGGGATCGTTGCTAAGACTCACCTCTCCACATTTGAATTCTCCATACCACCGGGAAATTGTCGACTGATGTGGCGTTTCGTTGCGGAAAACAGACAACAACTCAGCAAGGCATTCTTGTTGCGATAATTGTCACTGAAGGTTGTAATAAAATGTGGCGCGAAAATGTTCTCGGTTCAGTCCCATTTTTCTAATGACTTGGTGACACTTAAAAATTCACTGTAGTGAGAACACTGCACGTACTGTTGTGAAACTTTGAATTAAGTTTTCTAGGCAGTGAGGTTAAGATTCAGTACTGACGTACGATCCGCGCGGCCTACTATGTTTCTATATGCAAAACTTAAAAGACATCCCTCGTATCGGAAATGTTATCTCGCAAGCATGGAACTTGACAAACTAAATGTTACAACTGTACTTGTTTGTTTTTTAATACGCCTAAGTAAAATTTTATAAATGTTCT